TCGAGAGATGATCCAAGATGGCCACATAGGAACAGCTCTGGAGTGCAGTTCCCACTGAGAACAACGCAGAGGGTGAGTGATCACCTCATTTCCAAACAAGTTTTTACTGCCCACAGACCAGGAGATTCTCAGACTGAAAAGCGCCACCAGTCTCCAGCACAGCTGTTTCAGCTGGCGCAGCAGGTCTCCACACAAAAACACACAAATCTGGACAGCCGTTTCAACTGGCATCTGGAACGACTGGGAGACAGAGTTGCCCATTCAACTCAAAAAAAAGGGGGCTGAAACAGGGAGCCAGATGATCTGGCTCAGTGGGTCCCAATCCCACAAATACCAGCAATCTGAAACATTCTTGATTGAGAGTTTCACAGCAAGCACAGCTGGACCCGGGACAGTCCAGCTCTACGGGGGGAAGGGTGTCTGCCATTACCAAGGCAGTTCCACCATTACAGAGGCAGTCTGCCATTACACAGACAGTCCGCCATTACTGAGGCAGACTGCCATTACTGAGGCAGTTCTAACTATACCTCTATAAACAAAACTGCAAGGAAATTCATACAGCAGCTGAGCAGAACCCACAGAAGCTCAGCAATACCTCTGCTGGCAGACTGTGACTAGGCCACTTCCTCACTGGGCAGGGCATTTCTGGAAAAAGGCAGCAGCATGTTGGGAACTTAAAAATAAAGCCCCACCTTCCCAGGACAGAGCACCTGAGAAAAAAGAGTTCCGCTGCAGCAGACTTAAATGCACCTGCCCAGCAGCTATGAACAGAACAACAGAGCTCACAGCTCAGCACTTGAGCTCCTATAAGGGAGAGACTGTCTCCTCAAGCAGCTCCCCAACCCCAGTATATCCAAAGAGACACCTCATAAAGGAGAGCTCAGGCTGACATCTGGTGGGTAGCCTTCTGAGACAAAGATAACACAAGAAGAAACTGGCAGCAACCCTGTTTTGCAGCTGCCGCAGGTGATCCCCAGGCAAGCAGGGTCTGGAGTGGACCTCCAACAGTCCTACAGCAGAGGGGCCTATTAAAAAAAGAGAAAGAAATAACTTCATCATCAACAAAAAAGATGTCTACTCACGAGACTCCATCCCAAAGTCACCAACTACAAAGACCACAGGTAGATAAATCCACAAAGATGGGAAGAAACCAGCACAAAAAGGATGAAAACACCCAAAACCAAAACACCTTTCCTCCTCCAAGGGATCACAACTCTTCACCAGCAAGGGAACAAGACTGGATGGAGAATCTGAGTGTGATGAATTCACAGAAACAGGCTTCAGAAAGTGGATAATAACAAACTTCTCTGAGCTAAAAGAACATGTTCTAGCCCAATGCAAAGAAACTGAGCACTTTGAAAAAAGGTTTAACAAAATGCTAAGGAGAACAAACAACTTAGAGAAGAATACAAATGAAATGATGGAGCTGAAAAACACGACACAAGAATGTCACGAAGCATACACAAGTTTCAATAGCAGAATCAACCAAGCAGAAGAAAAGATATCAAAGATTGAAGATCAACTCAATGAAATAAAACAAAATGACAAGATTAGAGAAAAAAGAGTGAAAAGAAATGAATAAAGCCTACAAGAAATATGGGATTATGTGAAAAGACCTAATCTATGTTTGATATGTGTACCTGAAGGCGACGGAGAGAATGAATCAAAGCTGGAAAACGTTCTTCAGGAAATTATCCAGGAGAACTTCCCCAACCAAGCAAGGCAGGCCAATATTCAAGTCCAGGAAATACAGAGAACACCACAAAGATATTCCTCAGGAAGAGTAACCCAAGGCACATTGTCAGATTCACCAGGGTGAAACAAAGGAAAAAATGCTAAGGACAGCCAGAGAGAAAATCAGGTTACCCACAAAGGAAAGCCCATCAAACTCACAGTGGATCTCCCAGAAGAAACCCTACAAGCCAGAAGAGAGTAGGGGCCAATATTCAATATTCTTAAAGAAAAGAACTTTCAACCTATAATTTCATACCCAGCCAAACTAAGCTTCATAAGCAAAGGAGAAAGAAAATCCTTTAGAAACTAGCAATTGCTCAGAGATTTCATCACCACCAGGCCTGCCTTACAAGAGCTCCTGAAAGAAGCACTAAACATAGAAAGGAACAACCAGTACCAGCCACTCCAAAAACTTACCAAATGGTAAACAACATCGACACAATGAAGAAACTGAGTGAACTAATGGGCAAAACAACCAGCTAGCATCAAAATGACAGGATCAAATTCACACGTAACAATATAAATCTTAAATATAAATGGGCTAAATGCACCAATCAAGACACAGACTGGCAAATTGGATAAAAAGTAAAAAACCATCAGAGTGCTGTACCCAGGAAAGCCATCTCACATGCAAGGATACATATAGGCTCAAAATAAAGGGATGAAGGAAGATTTACCAAGCAAATGGAGAGAAAAAAAAAGCAGGAATTGCAGTCCTAGTCTCTGATAAAATAGACTTTAAACCAAAAAAGATCAAAAGAGACAAAGAAGGGCATCACATAATGGTAAAAGGAGCAATGCAACCAGAATAGCTAATGATCCTAAATATATACCTACCCAATAAAGGAGCACTCAGATATATAAACAAGTTCTTTTTTTTTATTGCATTTTAGGTTTGGGGGTACATGTACATGCAAGATTGTTGCATAGGTACACACATGGCAGTGTGATTTGCTGCCTTCCTCCCCTTCACCTATATCTGGCATTTCTCTCCATGCTATCTCTCCCCACCTCCCCAACCCTGTCCCTCCCCCATTTCCCCCCAACAGACCCCAGTGTGTAGTGCTCCCCTCCGTGTCCATGTGATCTCATTATTCAACACCTGCCTATGAGTAAGAACATGTGGTGCATAAACAAGTTCTAAACGACCTCCAAAGAGACTTAGACTCCCACACAATAATAGTGGGAGACTTTAACACTCCACTGTCAATATTTAGACAGACCAACGAGACAGAAAATAAACAATGATATCCAGGACTTGAACTCAGATCTAGGCCAAGCAAACCTAATAGACATTTAGAGAACTCTCTACCCCAAATCCACAGAATATACATTCTTCCCAGCACCACATCACACCTACTCTAAAATTGACCATATAATTGGAAGTAAATCATTCCTTAGCAAATATAAAAGAATGGAAATCATAACAAACAGTCTGTCAGACAACAGTGCAATCAAATTAGAACTCAGGATTAAGAAACTAACTCAGAACCACAAAACTTCATGGAAACTGAACAACTGGAACTTGAATGTAGACTGGATAAACAATGAAATGAAGGCAGAAATAAAGATGTTCTTCAAAACCAATGAGAACAAAGATACAATGTACCAGAATCTCTGGGACACATTTAAAGCAGTGTCTAGAGGAAAATTTATTGCAATAAATGCCCACATGAGAAGCAAGGAAACCTCTAAAATCGACACCCTATCATCAACACCCTTTGAAATTTACGTGACATCAATCACCTAAAACTGAAAGAGCTAGAGGAGTAAGATAAAAAAAAAACTCAAAAGCTAGCAGAAAATAAGAAATAACTAAGATCAGAGCAGAACTGAAGGAGATAGAGACAAAGAAAACCCTTCAGAAAATTAATAAATCCAGGAACTGTTTTTTTGAAAAGATCAACAAAATAAACAGACCATTAGCCAGACTAATGAAAAAGAAAAGATAGAAGAAGCAAATAGATGCAATAAAAATGATAAAGGGGATGTCACCACAGAGTCCACAGAAATACAAACCACCATCAGAGATTACTACAAACAACTCTGTGTACATAAACCAGTAAACCTGGAAGAAACGGATACATTCCTGGACACTTGCACCCTCCCAAGCCTAAACCAGGAAGAAGTCGAAACCCTCAATAGACCAATAACAAGGGCTGAAGTTGAGACAGCAATTAATAGCCTACCAACCAAAAAAAGCCCAGGTCCACATGGGTTCACAGCTGAATTCTACCAGACCTGCAAAGAGGAGCTGGTATCACTCCTTCTGAAACTATTCTAAACAATCCAAAAAGAGGAAATCCTTCCCAAATCATTTTATGAAACCAACAGCATCCTGATACCAAAACCTGGCAGAGACTCAACAAGAAAAGAAAACTTCAGGACAATATCCATGATGAACATAGATGCAAAAATCTTCAATAAAATACTGACAAACTGACTGCAACGGTACATCAAAAAGCGAATCCACCAATATCAAGTAGGATTCATCCTAGGGATACAAGGCTGGTTCAACATATGCAAGTCTATAAACATAATCCACCATATAAACAGAACCAAAGGCAAAAACCACATGATTATCTCAAAAGATGCAGAGACGGCCTTTGACAAAATTCAACAGTCCTTTATTCTAAAAACTCTCAATAAACTAGGTATCAACAGAATGTATCTCAAAATAATAAAAGCTATTTACAACAAACCTACAGGCAATATCATACTAAATTGGCAACAGCAGACGGTTAGTAAAGTTTTGAGGGAGACAAAACTTATACATGAATTTTTGACTGTACAGGGAGTTATTTCCCCTAACCTCCACATCATTCAAGGGTCAAATATATTTGACTTTGTAACTCCTAATATAATGACAAGAATGAGTGAGAATACCTAATGTTTACCAATTCTCAAACTTAAAGACATACAATAAAGAATAAGTAACACTCCACTGAGTGAATGCAGGTTGAGTTCTAATTCTGCTCTTCCACAAATTGGTTGTATTCTCATTAGTAAATCGCTAGCTCTTTCTGGGCTTTAGTTTTCACATCTATAAAAGGAGAAAGTGAATCTAGTTATTAAAGCCTTCTTGCTTTTAAACAGGCTGTGGTTCTATGGCACCTGTATTAATCATCAAACAAATAGCTGTGGAGTTTTATATGACATTGACCAAAAGAACTTCATTCAAAATTTCAAATATATCTCCATTTTCTGTTTCTGAGACGCCACAACTGAAATTGAGACCTCAAGAATGCTCAAGAGCAAATACTCACAAAGTCATCTGTGGCATCTTTGACAGCTGTCATAGTTATTACCAGGACCAAAGGCACAATGGTGGTAAACCAGGTCAAGGAGGAGATTTCTGGAATTAGCTAAAACAAACATTCCAAATAGTTTAGGACTTTTAAAGTTAAAAATATATACCTTCCAAATTTTGTCATTTAATTTTATAAAACTTAGCAGAAATTAATGGGATTATATTGACTTATTTGTACAAACGAAGAATGACTTTCAATTATTTAAGTGTTTGTATTTGGTTATGACACATAGAGTAGAAGTATTATTGAACTCATTTTCAAACTACCTAACCAAAAACTGAAGTTTTTATAGCAAAGGGAGAAGCTTCTTGAAATCTTTTACAGATGATCACCTTCTCCAATATGTTAAATGTCAACCATCTTTCTCAGCTTTTCATCTCAACTTTTAACAATTTTACCAACTTCTCTTTTTATCAATTCCCAAAGAGAGATTATTTGAACATCTGCCTAGCACCAGACACTGTGCCAGGTGCTTTCCATTTATTACATCATTTAATCCTCAGAAAAGTTCACTGAGTTAGATTCTTACTAGCATTGTTTTTGTATGATCCCAGAAGGTTTGTATTCCATGTAAATAGTACCGTACCCCCAGTACACAACACAGAATACTACATTATGAATAGTGTCCAGGAGTCAGGAAATGTTGCAGACCTAGATATCACGTCCCCATTCTATAAATGAAGTATCTAAGAGGTCATGTAACTGAGCCAGGATCACACTCTGCTAAAATTTGAAACTGGGTCTCTTAGACTCCAAGGCCTATTCCATTGTGCCTATACCTCCAAAGCCACCCACGTAAGAGAGCCATGGTGACAGTGGACATAAATCTCTTAGGTGGTTTTTAAATGGGTTCATTTTTTGGAGGTGCTTCACAGCCATCAAGCAGGAAAGGATGGAGTAGAGATGGTCAGTGGCTAAAGATCAGGCCCCATCAAAACAACTCTAAATCAATTTCATATAGCAACTTTCACATAAGATTTTTATTAAAAAACTCAAAACCCTCTGATGTAGCAATAAAAATAATGACTTTGGTGTCAGAAAAAGCTAGCTTCTAGTCCTAGCTCATCATCAACTCATGGTGGAAGCTTTATCATCTAACCTCTCTGGATCTAATTTCTTCATCAATAAAGAAAGGAGGTTAGACTGAACTATCCCAAAGTTCCCTTCTAAATATAAAATTCTATGAACAAGAGACTTTGGCCACAAATAAGAAACCCATTAGAGAAATGAATTCAAAATTCTGGAATGATGTGAAGTGTTACTTGAAACCAAAAGCAATTTCATGGGGAGAGATGTGGGCAGAAATCTTGGATTCTAAGTTTTCTTCAATAAATAGTGAGGTATTTATTCATTATTTTTGTTTTCCTAATCAATACCCAGTTCTTCTCAAATATCTTCCTATTTCTTATGGAACTATCATATCCCCTGACTTTCAGTCCACATAATTTTAGGAAACTGAGTCCATCCTGGATCCAGGGTTTGGCATATGATCTTGGTTAAGTCAATTACTGGATCAAACTCTTCAGCCACAGTGAAAGGTTTAGGAATGAAGATATAACTCCAGTCAGAACTAATCCCAAGACTTTTTCTGGAGCAACAGAAAAAGTAATTCATTCATTCATATTTCACATATTCCCTCCCCCCACAGTTGAGTTGGAACTATTATGTTGTCAGGGCCACCAAGTAAACAGGGCCTACCAGAGAGGCCAATGTGTTTCTAAAACAAACAAACAAAACAGAGAAACAGAAGCCACATCCTGATGAAATTGTTATTGATCATGGATCCAATAATACTTGAGATATCCATGAATGTCTTTTGCTTAAACTAATTTAAATTTCTGCCACTGAAAACATAAAGATTCTTAATACAAATAGATATTCAATTAAAGAAAAAACAGTACCCAAATCTATTAATCTAATCCATCTTCTTACATCTTAGCACATTCTCGACCTTCCAGTTTGATCTGGTTAAAGTACTCTAACATAAACACTAGGTAAATAACTGGCTAACATGAACTATTTATGTGTGTATACAGTATGTATGTGTACAGTATGTATGATTTATATCTTTTTCCTTCCCAAAGTATCCATAAAGGCTAAAATTTCATTTAAGGCCAGATTTTAGTCAGATGGGAGAAAAAGCAAAGGTTATTAATTACTAATTAACCATTCAAAACTGTAAAAGTAGTCACCCTACAGTGAAATAACACATAGCATCATCACTTACTTTATATATGTTAAAATGTGTCACTGTTTATAAATGAAAATGCAATTTGCCAAATTAAGCTCTGCAACCTACTCAGTCTTAGTTAGCAAAGACTCTTTGCCTTAACTCTGGCAATCCCCACACTGCAGATGTGAGAGGGAGATAAAGAAAGGAGGGAGGCTATGAGCAGTAATTATTAGGCTCTGGTTTGGTTCAAATAAAGTGCAAGGCTGTGTTTTAAAATGACCTCAGTGTTTAAAATGATAAATGTACTACTTTTTACCCATTCCTACCTCTCCCACACTGGTGAAGAGAAACAGTAACAACAAGACTAAAAATCTGATAAAGGATGATTTTACCTAATCAGGAACATTTAGCTAAGTAAATTAAGTAAACTACTTTTTAAAATTATATGAATACTTTCAACAAACAGATAATAAAGAAATACAACCTAAATATTACCTGTAAAATCAGAAGGCAAAGAAAATAGGCATTTGCCACTCTTTGGAATTGTTCAAATAAATTAATTGGCAAGAAGGTGAGAATACTGTATTTCGATGTATTGATACGATTATCCTGAAAAAGAAATAGCATTGTGTTAGTTTGGGGCAAGACATTGCTCATTATCAGAAACAGCTCTAAAACCAAAAAGCCTAAGCCAAAGTAAGAAAGATAAGCTGGTTATCTAGGAAATTTCAACTCTGTGTGGCTCAAGGCCTTCATTTTTCCCAAAATGACATGCTCCTGATAATAGATGAAACTATGGGTCCATGTCATAAAATCACCTGTGACTAAAAAATTTATCAAAAATTCACCCCTGAGATTTTTGACTCAGGCATCCAACTATTTGGCAGTCATTGCTTGAGCACCTACAATATACAGAGGTACTGAGTTCATGTTGGGGCCCACAAGGCAGGAGGGAACTTCAGAAATCATCTGGTCCACCTTCCCAAAGCATGACTTATTTAGATAACTCTGTCAAGGGGCTCCTAGGTCTGTCTTAGAAAGTCTCCTGTGATGGGAAACTGATAGCCTCACAAGGGATCCTGTCCCCATTTCAGAATGGGAACTGCTAGAATGGCCCTTATTATGAGAAACCCAAATCTGCCTCCCTACAACTTCTTTTTTTAAATCTTAATAACTATTTCTTTCTACTTTTATTTTAGATTCAGGGGCATGTGTGCAGGATTATCACATGAGAGAACTAAATGTCACTGAGGTTTGTGTATGAATGATCCTGTTACCGGGTAAAGAGCATATTAGAGTGAGTGAAGAGCTAGACATGAACAGATTGGGGAGCTCCTGGGAAAGGAAACCTCTAGGAAGCTCACAGCTGAGGGACCACCCAAAATTTCCATATTAAAGCTATCTCTAACACTTGTGTAGGCAGGTACTTAGTCATATGTGGATAGGAAAGAGAGGAGGTAGCTACACAGAAAGAAATATCTCGGAACACCTCTTAAGACACCCCAATAATCACACACTCTACAGTTAAAATGTCAGAATGTTGTTAGCTACATGCTAATAAGAACAAAAGGGGCCAGGCGTGGAGGCTCATGCCTATAATTCCAGCATTTTGGACGACCGAGGCAGGTGGATCACCTGAGGTCAAGAGTTTGAGACCAGCCTCGCCAACACGGTGAAACCCCCTCTCTACTAAAAATACAAAAATTAGCCAGGTGTGGTGGTTCATACTCCTACCTACTTGGGAGGCTGAGGCTAGAGAATCGTTTGAACTCAGGAGGTGGTCACAGTGAGCCGGGATTGCACCACTGCACTCCAGCCTGGGCGAAGAGCAAGACTCCTTAAAAAAAAAAAAAGGAAAAAGACCACCGGCCAAAGGGGACATTCCCAAGAGAAACCTGGCACCACAAGTACAGATTAGGACAGGCAAGGAAATTCCAAAGAGATATATGCAGGCCCAATAAGTATAGATTTGACCTCTGGACGACCTTCCTGGGGTGGCAGCAATGAGCAGGGACACCATCAGACAGAATTTGTTTTGATCACCAGCCCACACATGCACATTAACCCACAGTAAAGGAGGGTCCCACAAGCCTAGACAAGGAGTTAAGACAGGAGCGGGAAAAACTAGGCAAAGGAGAAAGATGGAGACTTGAGACAGGAGCAGTAATTTGCAGAAAAGTCCAACATGATAAAGCTCCCTGTGCAGAATCTTTGTAACTATTTTCCCACAGGATCATCCCACTCCTCCTTTGGGGTATACCTATCTTTCCTACAATAAACTCTTTACACCATATTTGTTTCAATAAAATTTCTTGCTATCTTTGTACTGTCTCTTGGTTGAAATCTTTCTTCCAAGTTAGACAAGAACTGGGACATCGACTCTCTCTGGTAACAAGCATAGTACCTGATAGCTAGTTTTTTAACCCTCACCCCCGACTCTTCCACTCTCCTCACTCTAGTAGTCCCCAGTGTCTACTGCTGCCATCTTTATGTCCATGAGTACCCACTGTTTAGCCCCCACTTATGAGAAGTCACAGTCTTTGGTTTTGTGATCCTGTGTTAATTCACCTCAGATAATGACCTCCACCTTCACCCATGCTGCTGCAAAGACCATCTTTCATTCTTTTTTATGCCTGTGTAGTATTCCATGGTGTAGATATACCACATTTTCTTTATCCAGTCCACCACTGACGGGCACCTAGGTTGACTCTATGCCTTTGCTATTGTGAATAGTGCTGTAATGAACATACAAGTGCATGTGTCTTTATGGTAGAACAATTTATTTTCCATTGGGTGTATACCCAGTAATGGGCCTGCTGGGTCAAATAGTAGTTCTGCTTTAGGTTCTTTGAGAAAATGCCACACTGTTTTCCACAATGGCTGAACTTATTTACAACCCTACCAACAGTGTATAAGCATTCCTTTTTCTCTGCAATGTCACCAACATCTGTTTTTTGTTTTTTTTTTTTAACATTTTAATGGCCATTCTGACTGGTGTGAGATGGTATCTCATTGTGGTTTTAATTTGCATTTCTTTAATGATTAGTCATGTTGAGCATTTTTTCATATATTTTTTGGCCATATATATGTCTTCTTTGAAGAAGTATCTTCTTGCCACATACCAAATCCCATCCCTGGGGTTACCCAGGCCAAACCTAAGGCCCTTCTATGTTGATAACCTTCAAATACTTGAGAACCACTCGTAGGACTTCCCCAAAATAATTATTCTGACTCAGACATTCCCAAACCTCTCAACCATTCTCCATGGTTTATTTTATGGACATTTCTTCCTGGTCAGGCTCTACTGGATCCATCCCAAAATCTCTCCATTTCTCTTAAAACATGATGCTAAGAATCAAACACAATGGCAAATCTGGCTCAGCAAGTGTATGTATACTAAGGACTCTGATGTTTGTGTTCTATATTGTATTGACATGTCCAGAGATTTCATTGACATTTTGGCAAATGTGTCTCACTATGTCTTCACAGTAGGTTTTGATGAACAAAAATTCCTAGATCATTTCTACATAAATCACTATTAAATCAGGTTTCCCTACCTATATATTTACAGTTGTTTTTTAAAACATTAATAAGATCTTTCATAGTTCCTATTATACCAGTCTAATGAAAAAAAATTAACCTCAAATGTACTATCTAAAGCATTAAATATTCCTCCCAGCTTTGTGTCATAAGAAAATTTCAAACACATGCCTTTTTATATTCTTCCAAAGCAGTAGACAAAAATATGTAAAAAAAAAAAAAAAAAAAAAAAAAAAAAAAAAAAAAAAAAAAAAAAATTACAGGGCTAAATTCACCAAAACAATTTTTTAAATTAAAACAATAAAGCTATTGCCAACTACTAGAGATCACTCTACAGATTAATACTTTCTTCAGGTATTATATAAAACATACTAAATATGTTTTCTTTAACTATTTGTAAAGCCAACTAACTATATTCTCTGTGGCTTAATTCTCTTATTCACAAAAATAACATGAGAAATTTGGGGTGACAGATATTACTGAAATTCAGAATCAACATGCCCAGAATAATATTTTTAAATGAGGTTAGTTTGGGGTAACTTATTTTAGGTGAACCTATGCTGGCTCCTAGTCATCACTCCTAATTGTTTTTTAAAATCCAGTCATTTGTTAAATGACCATTTTTAACATTTGATATGATTTGGCTGTGTCCCTAGCAAATCTCATCTTTAATTGTAGTTCCCATAATCCACACATGTCATAGGAGGGATCTGATGGGAGGTAACTGAATCATTAGGGTCATTACCCCGATGCTGCTATTCTCATGATAGTGAGTGAGTTCTCATGAGATCTGATGGTTTTATAATGGGCTTTTCCCCCTTTTGCTCAGCACTTCTCCTTTCTGCCTCCATGTGAAGAAAGACACGTTTGCTTCTTCTTCCATCCCATCATGATTGTAAGCTTCCTTAGGCCTCCCTGGTCAGGCTGAAGTGTGAATCAATTAAACCTATTTTCTTTATAAATTACCGAGTCTCAGGTATGTCCTTATTAGCAGCACAAAAACAGACTGATAAAACATTTGTCAGGAATCAAGGTGTCCAGTTTTGTGCTACAAGTTGTGGGAAAGTAAGAAGAGATGTCAAGCGGAGAATTTCCAGCTTAGTTGGCCTGATGCACAATATACTGAAAACTGTTCTGAAGGCTAATAATGACAGTATTGCAGTATGTTAACTACTCAAGAAGTTAACACACTGCAAAATAGGGTATGGGTACTGTCAACCACATGTTTTCCTAAGAAAGGACGTGGAGAAAAGAATGGGGAAGATTAAAGCTAAGGAGAAAATACAGTAAACTAAAGGAGCTCGTATTCCTCATTCTGTTTTGTATTTTCCTTCGAACTTAAAACTAAAATAGAGATTAGCCTAGCATCTTGCCAAAAGGATATATACAATGTCTATAACCATCAAACCCACGGCAGGAATTATAAAGAAACTCTCCTACAAAGCTGAGTTACACATAGGTGAAGAGCCAATTCTGCGGGATATAATAATGCCAAACAGAAACGATGACAATTTTCTCCTATTTGCTTAGCTTGACATATAGCAATGATTGTGCTTGTTCTACTCCTGTTGAACTGAGTCACAGATGATGCAAACCCTCAGTTTTGAATGGGAACAAAGAACAAGGGCTCCCCCTCCTGGAGAATCGCTGGTTCAGTCGTTTTTCTTTGTTTTTCAACCAAAAGCAAAACACCCTTCCGTCTCCACTGCCCTGTTCAAGCATGTGAGTACTGTATGAGTTAGACCTTAAATCAGGCACATTAATATTTAGTCATTTCATAGGCTACGGGCTTACAGTCCAATCTGAGCACAATTCATTCCATAAGGCAGAGAAAGATCTTCACCACTATCTTCCCAGAAGTACTTTCCCATCATGGATGACTAGAAACATCCCAATCCTCAGAAGAAAAGGAGGAGAATCCATGGAGCCTCTTTGGTGCTGATAAAAGCCAAACTAGAGACCATGACATCAGCTTGCTAGTGAGGAGGAAAGGTTAATGGATTCCATGATGAAGTAGGCTTGGGCTCACAGTCACAGGTGATGTCAGACAAGGGCAGGATCCCACATAG